CCGGCTTGGGGGTGGGTGTGGCTGATGGTGAACCCATCTTGGAGGTGGGGATGAGGTTGGGGTCCATCCTGGGGGTGAGATGGGAGGGAGCAGGGCTCCTCTTGGGGGCAGGGGTGGGGCTTTTGGTGAGGCCTATCTTGGAGGCAGAGGTGGGGACAGGGCTTGTCCTTGGATGGGGTGAGGCCCATCCTGGAGCTGCCAGGTGGGGGTGGTAGCCTGGGGTCAGGGCTCTGCCTGCCCCTCTCACCAGCGTCCCACTGGCTCCCGGCAGGTGGCAGCCACCTGCAATGTGGAACCCTCGCTCTTCAATGACTGGTTCAGCGGTCACCTCAACTTCCAGATCGAGCATCAGTGAGTGCAGGTCCTGGAGGACCCACGGGTGGGGACTGAGACCTGAGCCTGGGGCCAGGATGGGAACCCCTCTCCTGTCTTTCCCGGGGAGACCAAAGCAAGAACCCTGGCCTGGCTGGGGACCCTGGGGGCGATGGTGAACGGGGCTGGGAGAGGCTGCATGGGTGGGACTCCCTCTGGCAGTCCGCCCACCTCTGACGTCAGCACACGCTCGCCTCCCCCCCAGCCTCTTCCCCACGATGCCAAGGCACAACTACCGCAGGGTGGCCCCGCTGGTCAAGTCTCTGTGTGCCAAGCACGGCCTCAACTACGAGGTGAAGCCCTTCCTCACGGCCTTAGTGGACATCGTCAGGTGAGATGTGACCTAGTTCCTCAGCTCGTCCTGGTCAGCCCCCTCCTGGGCCCCAGCCCCCCAAGCACAGAAAGACCATAGGGTTTTCTGTCCTTGGCCCCTGCCATCCCTGGCATTCATTCCCACAGTGAGAATTTATGGGGCACTTACCACGGGCTCAGGCCTCGGTGGGATGGTCTGTGCAACCCCACAACAAAGAGGTTTGCATAGACCAAAGAGGAGAGGCCGAGAAAGAGGCCGACGAACCCAGTTTCTAAGACAGAAGCATGTACTAGGGACTTAGGAACAGCAGGGATGTCTTGGGCAGCCACTTGCTCTCTAGAAAATGCCGCTATGTGGCACGCTTTCAGGATACAACATGCCCAGTTGGCCACGCCTCAGACTTTCTTGTGAAACTTGTATCACCAGGGAAGTTAGATAAACATCTGCAGAAGTGAGGGATTATCTATACTCCACCTCGTGAAGGGGTTTAAAGATTTTGCTGCAGGACACCTTGGTATGCAGGGTCAAGCATGGGTGGTCATGGTGGTCTGGCCTGAAGATGGCATCACTCTTGCCATGCGCCGGGCCATTTCCTGCAGTCAGCAAAGCAGGCTGAGCTTCCTGTCTTCCTGGGGCGCTTTGGCCAAACTATACAAAAGCCCTGAGGGTGGGGCCAGGTGAGAGATGGGAAGTGCCAGCAAGGGGTTAAAGCTTTTAGTTTTTTGTTTTTTGGGGGGTTTTCCTTTGAGTCAGAGTCTCACTCTGTCACCCAGGTTGGAGTGCAGTGGCATGCTCACTGCCATTATAGCCTCTACTTGCTGGGCTCAGGTGAGCCTTCCACCTCAGCCTTCCAAGTAGCTGGTGCCACAGGGGTGTGCCACGACACCTGGCTAATTTTTTTTTTAATTATATTTATTGCAGGGACGGGTCTCGCCAGGTTGCTCAGGCTGGTCTCAAACCCCTGAGCTCACGCAGTCCTCTCACCTCTGCCTCCCCAAATGCTGAGATTATAGGTGTGAGCCACTTTGCCTGCCCAGGGTTGCAGTTTTTCACAGGGTGACAAGGTGGGCATTATTGAGAACCTGATGTGTGAGCAAAGAGAGATAGGGAGGGGAAGAGAGGGCTGGCACATTCCAAGCGGAGGGCATGGCAGTGCAAGGGCCCTGAGGCAGGAGTGCTGGTGTGATGGAGAGCAGACGGGACATGCCCGACTTACCTCCTGGCCAGACACCTGGCTGAAAGCACACAGGTGGGGCAGGAAGAAGTAAAAAGAGGAGTGTGGAGCCTCCTGCAGCCATCTAGGCAGGGATGCTGGGGCTCAGCTCCGTGGTCACCTTGGCGGTGGGAAACAGAGTTCAGGTGCTAGGTCTTCTACCTCTGTGCCTTTGCACATGCTGTTCCTGTTGCTTGTATGCTCTTTGTGCTCTCCTGGTGTTTAGACTCCTGCTTTTCCTTCATGGTCCTTCCCAACCCGGTCCTCTGAGCCCCTCCTTTGGGCTCAACTCCCTGGAACCTGGCATGGGGTTTCCTGGCAAGTTGCTGATGCTTCAGGCTCTTGTGCTCGACCCTGGGCCCCTGGGGCGGGATCAGGTGTCTCCAGGTCCCAGCGCCCAGCAGGAAGAGGCAACGGGGAGGACTGGTGAAGGAGGAACAAGTCCACCTGATCTGACAGCCTGGACTTGGTCTCGGCCCACCCCACTCCTGGTCTAACTTCCCCCCAGCCCCACACAGTGCCTGCCCCGGGGGGAAGCGACTCCCACGGAATGGGGGTGTCTCCACTCACATTTATCACGGGGGGTACAGGGGTGTTAGTGTCTTGTAACTGAGCCCCTAACACCCACCCCCACACCCCAGGTCCCTGAAGAAGTCTGGTGACATCTGGCTGGATGCCTACCTCCACCAGTGAAGACAGCACCTGGTCCAACAGAGAAGGGCTCAGGGCGCCAGCAACCGCAAATCCTGGCCCAGGCAGGATCAGCGCCCCCCCCCCCCCCCCACCCCGGGTGCCCCTGCCTGCCCGCCGGGCCTGCCACCTTCCCCGTGACCCCTACCTGTCTGTTCGGCCTCCCTATGGCCTTGGTTCTGGGCCCTGCGGGACTGGGGGTGAAGGGAAGGTGAGCATGGCATGTTTTCCTAGAGCGACAATGAGGGGAAACTGTTATTTTTATATAAAAACACACCAGATATATTGTAAGGAGAGTATTGAAGTTGTATGAGTCTCGGGCCATCAGGGTGTCGAGGGGATGTGGCTTAAGGGACTTTACCCTCCTCACTCCCACTCTGGGCTCTCTGGGTTGGGGACCCCACGGCTACTGGGGTTCAGATCTGCCCCAGGGCCTCTTCACCTCAGTTGACCCCTCTGTATGGTGGGACAGGGCAGACCCAGCAGACGAGGACCCAGGACTGAGGGTCATGTCTGCAAGCACCTCTGGACACGGGACAGGGAAGCTGGTGTGTCTCTGGACCTGCACTGGCCTCCTCAGACCTCTGTGATGATCTCAGCATGACACCTGGAATCACACAGGTGGTGGCCTCATAGCCTGACTGTGCCCAGTGACCCACAGGAGGTGACACTGATTTCCCCAAGCCCACTTGGGGCCAGGTGCTTGCCTGCAGGTGCAGTGAATAAGCTGAACCCCAGAGGCATGGCCATTCCTGTTCTTGGAATCTGGGGACTCACCTGGACTGGCAGGTGTCCTTGGACAGGGCACCACCCTTTACCCAGGCCTCAGGCTGCTCGTCTGACAATGGGTACAGTTGGACTTTGCCTATGGGCTTTGGACAGTTCTAGGGGGGGGCTTTGGGTTGCCTCTTGGGGCATCCAGTTCGGGATGAAGAAGAGGAGGAGAGATGGGCAGCTGGACCACTCAGCTTCCAGCATCCATGCACCCTGACAGCCCCATGCTGAGCTGAGATTTCATCTGAGTGTCAGCATCTTAAAAAAAAAAAATTAGCCGTGTATGGTGGCTCATGCCTGTAATTCCAGCACTCTGGGAGGCTGAGGTGAGAGGATTGCTTGAGCCCAGGGTTTGAGACCAGCCTGGGCAACTTGACGAGACCTCATCTCTACAACAAAAAACTAGCTGGGCGTGGTGGTGCGTGCCTGTAGTTCCAGCTACTTGGAAGGCTGAGGCGGAAGGATCGCCTGAGCCCAGCAAATGGAGGCTGTGGTGGCCGTGAGCGTGCCACTGCACTCCAGCTTGGGAGACAAAGTGAGACTCCGACTCAAAAAAAAAGTTGAGGCCGCTGGTTACAGTGGCTCATAACTGTATTCCTAGCACTTTGGGAGGCTGAGGCAGGAAGACTGCTTGAGCCCAGGAACTGACCATCAGCCTAGGCAACATAGCCAGACCTCATCTCTACAAAAAATTAAATTAGTCAGGCATGGTGGCTCATGCCTGTAGTCCCAGCTATTCGGGAGGCTGAGGCAGAAGTTTCACCTGAGCCCAGGAGGTCAAGGCTGTGATGCGCCTCGATCCTGCCACTGCACTCCAGCCTAGGGGAGAGTGAGACTCAAAAAGAAAAAAAAAAAGTGGAAATGCTGGCCAGGATTTCTCAGGTGGGAGCTGGGGTTGCCCTATCAGCCACAGGGTCTGCCCCCACTCTTTTTCGGGGCTCCCACTGGTCTGTACTGGGTTCCCCTTGGGAGGAGGAAATGACATAAATACTGCAATCCTTGTTCAGTCCTTCCCAGGCCTACCCGCATGGAGGTGGAGCTGGGGGGCATGCCCATGCTGGCCCCTCCACAAGGCAGCCCTGGGCATCTCTGCCCCTGACTTTCTCTTCCAAGACCAGCTAGAAAGCTCCTTAGTGGAAATGCTGATGGTGACAGTCCCTGACACCTGGTGTGTCCCCTGTGTGGGGCAGCATTCTCATTTCATTCCCATGGGCCTTTGCCGCCCGTCTCAGGGATGACCCTCTGGGATGCTCTCCCTGGGATGCTCTCCCTGACTCCTGCCCTGCTCTGCCTAGTCTCTGACCACGGTCTCTGACAGCACCTGGAATATCGACTTCGGCCCCCACTGGAGGCTGGTGGCAGCCCAGAGCCTGGCCCAGGGGGCCTCTGCATGTGTTTTCTGAGAGAATGACAGACAGGCTGGGCATTTGGTCCTGCTTTCCCTACCCTGGGCCGAGAGAGCATGGGGTGGGAGTTGGCAGTCCTCAGCTCACATGACCCTGAGCACACAGCTCGAATCCCCCATGGCCTCCCAGCCCAGGGTAGTGCCAGCAGGAATCTCCCAGACAGAGCCTGGGAGGCTGACAGGGTGGCAGCCCCTTCAGCTTGATCATGGATGAGGCATGTGCCCTTGGCCAGATGCCACCCAGCCTCGTGTGGTTTCCATCCCCTCTTAAGTCAAACCGATAGGGGGGTTGAGGACAGGGGCAAGTCCTGTCTGCCAGGATGAAAGCTGTGTGACCTTGGGGGAGTTACTCGACCTCTCTGAGTGGTAGGGCCACCCCTTAGTGTGATGGAAGCTGAAAGGGATGCTTTGTGGAAGCTTCTTCCCAAAGGGCCAGAAGCAGGTGCAAGAAATTTATTCACAAATTTATGCCCAGGGTCCGATGCCCTGGGGTCATCACTTGCTCTGTGACCTGGGACAAGCCCTTTGTCTTCTCTGAGCCCCGATGTCCAACTAAGGGCAGGACTGGATGCCCCTTGGAAGGCACTTCTGCCTGAGATGCAAACTTCTTAGGCCCGGGCATGTCAGCATTCAGGGTCTCTGCACAGCTATTCCCTTCCTGTCGCCACCTGGCCAAATCCTGCTCCCGGCTCCAGGGAGGGCTCCGAATGGCATTCCCTCCACCCCCGCCCGGCCCGGCAGGGTTCAGTCCCACCCGGCCGGCCGACGGCAGCGGTGGCTGCCGGGGAGATGTCGCCTCCGAGACCACCGCGCCTGCAGCACCACCCAGGGGCGCCCGGAGCGTCCGCGCCCGCGCGGGGCGGACCGTGCTCCGTGCTGCCCCTGCTGGTCGTCGCGGGGAATGCGGCCTCCCGGCGGCAAATCCCGGGCTCCCTGGGAACTCGTGTCCAGCAGCCGTCCCTAACCTCTTTGGCATCCGGGGCCGGTTTCGTGGACGACGATTTTCCCACGGACTCGGAGTGGGGAGGCATCACCAGGCCCTCGATTCTCACAAGGAGCGCGCAACCTAGATTCCTCGCGCGTGCAGCTCACAATATGGAGGGCACTAGAATCTGATACTGCAGCTGATCTGACTGCGATGGCGCTCAACTACTGCTGTGTGGCAGGTTTCTAACAGACCATGGGACATCGCCGGCTCAGGGGTTGAGGTCCCCTGGTTTTCAGGACCCTTGGAGGAGGCCCCGCCCTCACTAGCCTCTCCTTATAGGTTTCTTTGCATTGCCTGGCATCTGTCACTGGTGGGTCATCTTTGCCTTTGTCCCACTGTCCCCGTGCTAGAGGCCCTGGGAACCGGTCACCCTCTCGATTTTGAACGTCTCTCTCTTAGATAGGTAGGTCTCTCCTTAGTCACAGAACAAAGATTTAGGAAACATGGGCCAGGTTTGTAAAAGGAAAGAGAAAGTTCTTAGTGGGGCCTCCAAAAAACCCTATGTTCCTTTTTTTTTTTTTTTTTTTGAGTTGGAGTCTCACTCTGTC